CCAGCATGACATGTTCTGTCCTTTCAATATATTTTGTACATTACTGTGTGCCATTGATTATCTTCATTCCACCAGGTTTCTATGATGCCTATTATATCAATATCATCATTTAATACTAGGCATTCTAGTTCACCCATCTTATTATTTAGATGTCAAGCATTGGTATATAAGCATTTTAAAAACTTGTCATTTTTTGGCTGTCCCCTATTGCATGATGTAATTGAATGGGACTTTTTTTTATTTGACTGTTTCTCATCAGATCCTCCCTGTATTTTATCATTTTCCATCCTCTCCTCCTTATTAGGACATAGGGAATCTCCATTTATAGATCCTCCCCTAAGGGATGTCCGAACCACATGCTCCTCCACACCTGTCAGCTTTCCCCCAACCTTTAGTTTAAAAACTGTTCTACGACCTTTTTAATTTTAAGCGCCAGAAATCTGGTTCCGTTTTGGTTTAGGTGGAGCCCATCCTTCCTGTACAGGCTCCCCCTCTCCCAAAAGCTTTCCCAGTTGCTAATCAATCTAAACCCCTCCTCCCTACACCATTGTCTCATCCACGCATTGAGACCCTGCAGTTCTGCCTGTCTAACTGGCCCTGCACGTGGAACTGGAAGCATTTCAGAAAATGCTACCATGGAGGTTCTGGACTTCAATCTCTTACCTAGCAGCCTAAATTTGACCTCCAGGACCTCTCTCCTACCCTTCCCCACGTCGTTGGTACCTACATGTACCACAACCACTGGCTCCTCCCCAGCAGTACACATAAGTCTGTCTAGATGTCTTGAGAGATCCGCAACCGTCGCATCAGGCAGGCAAGTCACCATGAGGTTCTCCCGATCATCGCAAACCCAGCTATCTATGTTTCTAATGATCAAATTGCCCATTACTAATACCTGTCTCTTCCTAATAACTGAAGTTCTCTCCCCCAGAGAAGACTCCTCAGTGTGAGAGGATACCACAGCATCATCTGGGAGGAGGGTCCCAACTATGGGATCGTTTCCCTCTGCTCCAGTTGGATGTTCTCCTTCCCTGAGGCTTTCATCCTACTCAACAGCACAGAGGCTGTCAGACCAGGGGTGGGACCGTTCTACTGTGTCCCAGAAAGTCTCATCTACGTACCTCTCTGTCTCCCTTAGCTCCTCCAGCTCAGCCACCCTGGTCTCCAAAGTCCACACACAGTCTCTGAGGGCCAGTATATTGTTCAACTGCACGCAATCATTTTCAAGACAAAGCTTCAAGATGACTATTTCATCCAGGGGTGGGCAAACTACGGCCTGCAGGCCGGATCCGGCCCATGAGCCATTTAAAGCTGGCTTGCGAACCACACCAGTGGCTCGGCCCCGCTGCAGCGCTCTGGCTGGGGCCCTGGGTCTGGGTCAGACCACGCGGCTCGGCCCAACTCCAGCTGTGGGGCAGGGTAGGGGGCCGCACCACGCGGCTCCTGGAAGCCGCGACATGGCCCTGCTCCAGCTCCTATGTGCTCCAGTGGGAGCTGCAGGGGCAGTGCCTGTGGATGCGCCAGCATGCAGAGCTGCCTGGCCATGCCTCCTCATAGGAGCCAGAGAAGGGACATGCCACTGCTTCCAGGAGCCACTTGAGGTAAGCACCCCGAGCTTCTCCCCACATCCCAACCAACCTCCTCAGCCCTGATCCCCCTCCTGCTCTCCAAACTCCTCGATCCCAGCCCAGTGCACCCTCCTGCACCCCAAACCTCTCATCCTCAGCCCCACTCCAGAGCCCGCACCCCCTCCCACACCCAACCCCAATTTCATGGCCCTCCATACAATTTCTATTCCCTGATGTGGCCCTCAGGCCAAAAAGTTTGCCTACCCCTGATTTAACCCCATTATAGAATTGATTAGTTTCATTAGACCCTCCTTTTTCCTTTACACAAATGTACCGTCTTGCTCTTCCCTCAAACTTCAATCACTGCCATTCAAGCAAATGCAATTTTGATAGCAGCACCTAGTGCTGAATTACTGGCACCTTACTGCTTAGTGGCGGGAAATGATCTGTGTACAGTCCTTGTCAGCAGAGTGCATGGCTGAACAGATATGTGGCCTCAGGGCACTAGTGGTGTAGACCCCATCTCCCCAATATTTGCCGTCATGCAGACCACCTTCCCTCCTATTTAGCCACTTTCCCTCTTCTTCATCTCTGTAGCAAGTTACAGAAATTGCTTATATGGGTATCTAATATTCAGTAGCATTTCTGTATCTGTCTTCCAGTTTTGTCTTTTTTGGGGGTGGGGGGAGAAATAGTTAGCCACACTGGTTACTTTTGCTCTTCATTTTGTTTCCCCACTCTCTCCCCGCCCACACACATACTTTTAGCACACTTCCCACAGCCTCTTCTGCATAAGATTAGTCCCTGCCACTTGATTCTTTAATCTATGTGGTATAGCTGAACACTTCATAGAATCATAGAATATTAGGGTTGGAAGGGACCTCAGGAGGTCATCTAGTCCAAACCCCTGCTCAAGGCAGGACCAATCCCCAACTAAATCATCCCAGCCAGGGCTCTGTCAAGCCTGACCTTAAAAACTTCTAAGGAAGGAGATTCTACCACCTCCCTAGGTAACGCATTCCAGTGTTTCACCAGCCTCCTAGTGAAAAAGTTTTTCCTAATATCCAACCTAGACCTCCCCCACTGCAACTTGAGACCATTACTCCTTGTCCTGTCCTCTTCTACCACTGAGAATAGTCTAGAACCATCCTCTTTGGAACCACCTCTCAGGTAGTTGAAAGCAGCTATCAAATCCCCCCTCATTCTTCTCTTCTGCAGACTAAACAATCCCAGTTCCCTCAGCCTCTCCTCATAAGTCATGTGTTCCAGTCCCCTAATCATTTCTGTTGCCCTTCGCTGAACTCTCTCCAATTTATCCACATCCTTCTTGTAGTGTGGGGCCCAAAACTGGACACAGTACTCCAGATGAGGCCTCACCAATGTCGAATAGAGGGGGACGATCACATCCCTCAATCTGCTGGCTATGCCCCTACTTATACATCCCAAAATGCCATTGGCCTTCTTGGCAACAAGGGCACACTGTTGACTCATATCCAGCTTCTCGTTCACTGCCACCCCTAGATCCTTTTCCGCAGAACTGCTGCCTAGCCATTCGGTCCCTAGTCGGTTGTGGTACATTGGGTTCTTCCGTCCTAAGTGCAGGACTCTGCACTTATCCTTGTTGAACCTCATCAGATTTCTTTTGGCCCAATCCTCCAATTTGTCTAGGTCCCTCTGTATCCTATCCTTGCCCTCCAGCGTATCTACCACTCCTCCTAGTTTAGTATCATCAGCAAATTTGCTGAGAGTGCAATCCACACCATCCTCCAGATCATTTATGAAGATATTGAACAAAACCGGCCCCAGGACCGACCCCTGGGGCACTCCACTTGATACCGGCTGCCAACTAGACATGGAGCCATTGATCACTACCCGTTGAGCCCGACAATCTAGCCAACTTTCTACCCACCTTATAGTGCATTCATCCAGCCCATACTTCTTTAACTTGCTGACAAGAATACTGTGGGAGACCGTGTCAAAAGCTTTGCTAAAGTCAAGAAACAATACGTCCACTGCTTTCCCTTCATCCACAGAACCAGTAATCTCATCATAGAAGGCGATTAGATTAGTCAGGCATGACCTTCCCTTGGTGAATCCATGACTGTTCCTGATCACTTTCCTTGAGGACCTGCACCATGATTTTTCCGGGGACTGAGGTGAGACTGACTGGCCTGTAGATCCCAGGATTCTCCTTCTTCCCTTTTTTAAAGATTGGCACTACATTAGCCTTTTTCCAGTCATCCGGGACTTCCCCCATTCGCCATGAGTTTTCAAAGATAATGGCCAATAGCTCTGCAATCACAGCCGCCAATTCCTTTAGCACTCTCGGATGCAACGCGTCCGGCCCCATGGACTTGTGCACGTCCAGCTTTTCTAAATAGTCCCTAACCACTTCTTTCTCCACAGAGGGCTGGCCACCTACTCCCCATGCTGTGATGCCCAGCGCAGCAGTCTGGAAGCTGACCTTGTTCGTGAAGACAGAGGCAAAAAAAGCATTGAGTACATTAGCTTTTTCCACATCCTCCGTCACTAGGTTGCCTCCCTCATTCAGTAAGGGGCCCACACTTTCCTTGGCTTTCTTCTTGTTGTCAACATACCTGAAGAAACCCTTCTTGTTACTCTTAACATCTCTTGCTAGCTGCAGCTCCAGGTGTGATTTGGCCCTCCTGATTTCATTCCTACATGCCCGAGCAATATTTTTATACTCTTCCCTGGTCATATGTCCAACCTTCCACTTCTTGTAAGCTTCTTTTTTATGTTTAAGATCCGCAAGGATTTCACCATCACTTGTTCTATTCCCTCTACTCATTGGACATCCTGCCCACTCCCTCATTTCTTTTTCCCACCTGTGGCTAGCACCCCTCCAGTCCAGTCCCAGAGAGCACCTCCTTCCTTGTCTGCCTATCCAGCAGAAGCACATAGTAGACGTGGCTAGGCTACCTCCTTTTTGTTTTCAGGGGCTCTAAGGCCACCTGGAGAAACAATGAGAATCCAACCCTATATGCGAAGAGCCACTACACTGGCCCATCTTGCTCCGCGCCCGGAGAAGCCCCCCACGGCAATCCTCCTGGCGCAACAGGCCAGTACCCTATGGCAGCTACCTGCTCGGCTGGATCATGCGCCAGACAGTTACGTTCAGTGGCCAGAAGAACTGCAGCAGGTCCGTGTACTCTGGAGGCTGAACGGCCCCTGCAAAGCGCTCCTTGGAGGAGGAGACTCCGGAGACTGAGCCCTTTTTGCTGCCTCCAGGTAACTGAAAGGAAACACTGCTCACAAGCAGAGCCAGGACGGGGCTAGGAGCTGCCGCCGGCAGGGCCCTTTGTGTGCAGAGCCGGGCTCCGCCTGTGACCTAACTCAGGTGTGCGGCTCGCCCAACCCCCGCAGCTCCGCGCTCGCCCGCCGGTGCCGGGGGGCTCGGCGCCGCTGACTCACCCGGCTCCCCGGAACTGCACTCCGCCAGCTGCTGACTCGTCTCCTCCAGTGGCCGGCTGGGCTGCGGCTCCTGCCCCTCCACTGGCACTACTGTGAAACTGGTGGGCATTGTCTTCCGGCTGGGCAGCGCCGGGACTCCGCGCTCAGAGCTCGGGAGCGACGGGGCGTTGGCGGCGGCGTCTGGTGTTCCCTCCCCCGACAGGGAGAGGGGTGGGAGTCCTCGAGCTGCCGCCTCCCTCACGTGAGAGCCATTTCCTCACGCCGTGGGGGGTGGCTGGCGCTCTCCACACGCTGGCTTTGATTTTTCACTAGGCTTTGCAAACAGTTCCGCCGGCTGCCATGTCTACTAACTTCAGCGTCTGCACAAAAGGAAAAGGGGAAGCGCCGGGCCGGGCCCACACCCACACTAAGTAGATACAGCCCCCGAGATCCAATTCGCAAGGGTCACCCCCACCGACCCACTCCTGATGATTTTCTCCCCTACACTCACCAGCTGAGTTGGGAGGACTCCTAAAATCCTCTGCAAGCCAGAGTCCAGAAGAGACCATGTTTTCCCCTCAGTGGCTCTCAGTGGAATGGATAGGTTCTAATATCAGGGCAAAATTGTTTGAAAAGAGATAGGTCTTATGTGCCTACCTGCCTCTTTAGGCAGGTAAGTCCCAGATTTTAGGCACCTCTAGTATTAACAAAACCCCAGCTCAGCTGCCACTGAATGCTTTAGGTGCACACACACAAAATCAATGTGCCTAAATTTCTTCTGTAAAAGTTGCCTTTGTTTCTGTCTCTGAGTGTGCATGCTGCTGCCTCACTCCAGGTGTCTAGCTACCTAACCCCAGTAGTATACAAACTGGGGGAAAATAGACATCCATCTGCCTAAGGCTTTGTCTGTGCAACACAGTTTTTTCCACAAAAGTCAACTTTCATTGACAAAACAGTGGAGGTGTACACGCTGCAATGCTCCTCCGGCCAATTTAACTTTCCTGCTACGCCATCAAAATAAAAGCACCTCAACAAGAGGTGTAGAGCTTTTTGCAGCAAAGTTAGATCAACACAGTGTTAATGGAGACACTGCACTTGCTTATGTTGCTGTAAATGGCCTCCAGAAGACAGCAGTCAGCAGACTCAACCCCAAGGATGAAGTGGAGTTGGAGGATGAGGTGGAACAGGTGGCAGGGTTATCCGATAGTGTGGTGAGCCAGGATCTCTTCTCAACTCTGGTGCGTTCAAGCTAGTCCCAGCACTCTGGCTCTGGCATGAATGATGCAGGAGAGGGGAACTCTGGTAAGTACTCATTTTGATGAGTGATACTACTTGGTTACATGAGGAAGAGCTGTCTTTTGTTTCATTATATCTTAGAAGTGAGTCAAGGATAGAAATGTACATGACTAGCAGTGGTAGCGTCTGCTTCCCATTCCCCAGTGCAGCTACGCAGTGGGGATCCTGTGGAAAAGTTTGTTAACGCACATTGAGATTTTACGGAAATCTTCCAGAAAGATCTCTAGGAAACTTTCCTGGAGGTACTCACCAATCCTCTGCTGAAGGTTCCTTGGCAGAGCAGCTTTATTTCTTCCCCCATTGCAGGAAACTTTGCCATGCCAACGGGCAATCACTTGTGCAGGGACCAAAGCAGCACACAGGTGAGCAGCATAGGAGCTCAGTCTGAAACCTAAGACATGTAGGAGATCACAGAATCATAGAAGATTAGGGTTGGAAGAGACCTCAGGAGGTCATCTAGTCCAACCCCCTGCTCAAAGCAGGTCCAACCTCAACTAAATCATCTCTGCCAGGGCTTTGTCAAGCTGGGCCTTAAAAACCTCTAAGGATGGAGATTCCACCACCTCCCTAGGTAACCTATTCCAGTGCTTCACCACCCTCCTAGTGAAATAGTGTTTCCTAATATCCAACCTAGATCTCCCCCACTGCAACTTGAGACCATTGCTCCTTGTTCTGTCTTCACACACCACTGAGAATAGCCTAGCTCCATCCTCTTTGGAACCCCACTTCAGGTAGTTGAAGGCTAGTATCAACCCCCCCCCCCCCCTACTCTTCTACAGACTAAATAAGCCCAGTTCCCTCAGCTTCTCCTCATAAGTCATGTGCCCCAGGCCCCTAATCATTTTCATTGCCCTCCGCTGGACTCTCCAATTTTGTCCACATTCTTTCTGTAGTGGGGGACCCAAAACTGGACGCAATACTCCAGATGTGGCCTCACCACTGCCAAATAGAGGGAAATAATCATTTCCCTCTATCTGTTGGCAACACTCCTACTAATGCATTGCATTCTCATTTACCCACAGGAGTTAGATAGCAGCTTCAATCACCCCTGTCTGTGGAAAATGGTGGCAAAATATACAATAGTGTCCCTAGACACTTGCAGTTATCCCCTTAAAAAAATACCTAGACCCTTTGTCCCATCTCGGACCTTTCCCCCACAACCCTGTGGCTGAATTCACCCTATTTAGGGAGCTCACTGAGCTGTGTGCTTGCCAAGGGAGAGTGGGAAAAAGGTGGTGTAACCGTGCCTCAGTGGGGGTCACAACTGAGAATGTTGAATTCAGGGTGAACTGCTGAGAAATAGGGCAGATACACCCCAAGACGGGTGGCTAATCCCATAGCATATATGAAACCAGCAACAAAAGTAAACTTCTGTTTCACCACATTGGCAAACAGGAAAACATAAAGGCAGTTTCCTCAGGCATTCAAGTTCTTATATCCAAAAACACTGGATTCAGAGATGAGTGGTTCTTTTCAACCAGTTTCATCAAATAATAGGTTCTTCTGATCCCAAAGGACCAGCCACACACCCAGGTCAATATATAACTTAGATCTTACCCAAAAATCACGCTGATGCCAATCCTTTAGTATCTAAAATCTAAAGGTTTATTCATAAAAAGAAAGAAAGGTGAGAGTTAAAATTGGTTAAAGGAATCAAATACATTCAGTAATTGCAAAGTTCTTGGTTCAGGCTTGTAGCAGTGATGGAATAAACTGCTGGTTTGATAAGTCTCTGGTTGCTTCCAAATCATTGGAAGGACTTCAGTCCACTGGTTAGAAAGCTCGCATTAGTATAAGTTCATAGTCCAGAGGCTTGGGCTGGAAAGAGGCTGGAGCAGGATAGAGGCAAAAATGGAGAGGTTTCAGGGCCTTTTATATCCTCTGCCATGTGGAAGGAAACCCATTGTTCTTACTGTGGAAAATTACAGCAACAAGATGGAATTTGGAGTCACCTGGGAAAGTCACATGTCGATGCATTTCGCCTAGTCATTGTAGGAAGCCATAACCTACAGTCCACACAGTGTAGATGGGCATCTCCCATGATTCATTGTCAGCCAAGTATTTTTTGATGAGCCTCTTAATTTGAATAGTCCCTCCAAGGATATGCTGGCTAGCTACCTTGTCGGTGATACTCCAGGAACAAACATTTGAAATCCAGATATAGAGCCAATACTTATAACTTCAAATACAAAAATGATACATGCATACAGATAGCATAATCATAACCAGCAAATCATAACCTTTTCACAGACAAACTTTGTGGCAAATATATAACAGTGATCTATATGGTTATATTTTAATCAGATAACATCACTCCCCCAACACACAATTGGTGCGGGAAGATGTGTCCCAAACACTGTTGAATGCATCTAGGAATCTTTCCATTCTTGGTTTTGTATTACTACAGCTTATAACCAATATTAGAAGTCTTAATGTATAACAGAAATGGTTTATCAAAATTATATTTAACAGTATTATTGAATTTCTTTACAAACCTAATTAACATCAAGCCAATGTAGATATTAATGTTTGCCACAGTGTAGGAATATTGCCAGTAAGCCATGAAAGCAATATAGTAGTGTGCCTCAGTTTCCCTTTTCATACAGCACATTAGGTATGCAATGTCTTTTCTGCTGTGAAGAGCTTCAAGACTGTCCATAGGCACTAATTGGGAAACATCAGTATCACAAGGCCTTTTAACATAAAGTGTGTTCTTATCTATCATTCTTAAAATGTTCAAAGTTTTTTTTCAAATGTAACCCCCTTGCGGTTTAGATAGCATGGCCCCTTTAAATCTTTTTCCTAATGGGGGAGAGGGAGCAGTGAGAGAAAGGAGGGAAACTCCAGGGGTATGGCTCTGGAGCTCAAGACAGAAGGGCTGCAGCAAGCAGGCCCTCACAAAGTGAAGCGGCGGAGAATCTGCCTGAAGCCTGAGAAGGACAGGGAGAGCTGGACCTAGTATCACTGCTGCCCAGAGCTGCATGGGGCTGTGAGTACTGGGACCTGTGACTCTCCATTGGGAATAAGGAGGGAGGCTGCTAGCTAGTTAAGTGGGGAGGTGGTCGCTCTGTGCGGCTTTGCAGAGAGCAGCAGAAGAGGGCACTGGAGGGGTTTGTTGTGGAAAGTTTAGTGGTGTCGAAGACAACCAGGAGCACCCAAGACTCACCACTGGACTGGAACTTTGCTCAGGACTCCTGAACTCTGTGTGCAGACGCATTGCTCAGTGTCTGCCCTTTCAGACTGTGCTACCACTGGGCCTGTGGGGCCTTAGTTTGGATCCAACCCTGTTTTACTGCTCCCCCTATACTTCCCCTTGTTGTTTTTCTCCTCTCATCCCTCTGTAAATAAATATTTCCCTTTCTTATATCCATTGTACTTTACCGGTGTGTGCGTGTGTATGTTCACTCTTGGGGGTTTGGAACAGGCGCCCCTGAGGTGGAAGGGATTTTTCCTGCTGCATTCCTGTGCGCGCCTTCTCTTGGCCAGAGCTACCTGCAGAGCAGACTCCATCTTGGCCACGAGGGCACTAAAGACAGGTTTCAGAGGAACAGCCGTGTTAGTCTGTATTCGCAAAAAGAAAAGGAGTACTTGTGGCACCTTAGAGACTAACCAATTTATTTGAGCATGAGCTTTCGTGAGCTACAGCTCACTTCATCAGATGTTTACCGTGGAAACTGCAGCAGACTTTATATACACACAGAGAATATGAAACAATACCTCCTCCCACCCCACTGTCCTGCTGGTAATAGCTTATCTAAAGTGATCAACAGGTGGGCCATTTCCAGCACAAATCCAGGTTTTCTCACCCTCCACCCCCCACACAAATTCACTCTCCTGCTGGTGCTAGCCCATCCAAAGTGACAACTCTTTACATAATCAAGTAGGGCTATTTCCTGCATAGATCAAGGTTTTCTCACATCCCCCCCACCCCCATACACACACAAACTCACTCTCCTGCTGGTAATAGAGGGCACTAAAGTTACACTTGTTGGCCCGTATAAGGACTTTGAAGTACATGCACGCACACACCTATGTTACGTACCCTGGGCTCTCCTTCACAATGCAAAGATACTTCTGAGTGACTTTCATCTCAGTTTAAAAAAAAAAATGGAGAGGTGATTATTAGAAGACCTGTGCCGAGGGGTACGAATCCCAGTAACCAAAGCTGTGCTGGTGGCGGGATTCCCAGAAGAGATGGAACCAAATGATATTGAGGAGAGCCTAGATGCAGTTGAAGCACTG